GTAATATATGATTTTGTCGAATATGTTTAAATAATAATTCTCTTAAAACTTTTCTTACAACACTTGACATATAAAAATAAATATAAAATGTACATACAAAATTACAATGATAAAATAGACGAATAATTTGAATAAATAAATGTTCAATAGATAATCGAAGAATATCTTTTTCTATTTTACTAGTTAAATCATCATAAATATTTTGAATACCAAATGGTATTCCTGATATAGCTAAAACAAAAAGTTGAGGAATAAGCATACGACGAATTTGTTTTGTTAAACGAGTACGACGATGAACAAAATTCATAAAACGAAGATTTCTAATAGTACCCAATGTAAATATTATTATTAATATAAGTGGACCAATTGTATAAACTATTGGTGTTAAAAAATAATTATAAAATTTTTTAATTGGACTATCAATTAATATACAAACATTATTAATACTATTACTAATTAAAATTATTGGTATATAAATAATAATTGTAAAAAAAATAGCTAAACGAACTATTCGTATTGAACTCCAATGATTTCGAAAATTTACTTCATAATATGTACTTGCATATTGATCAAATGCAGCCCAACATGGAAATGATATTGTTGGTACTGTTGTAACATAGAGTAAATAATTATGTTCTCGACAAGCTATATCATTTGTATTAAATATACCTAAACCAAAACCATCTACAAGTATACTTTGTAAATAAATAGTTGGTAGATGTATAGCTGTCATAATTGCACCTGCTAATAAATAAATTATTGTTGGATTACAACGAAATGAACGTTTTCTAGTAAAGACAATAATGGTTAATATTGCTCCAATAATACCTAAGATAATCATTGGTATAGCAAATAAATAATTGAGCCAACGTGATATTCTATTGATTATGATGGCTGTAGATGACATTGTCATTGAATAAGATTGTAATGTTGAATTCATTGATAATGATAATAAATGGATTATTTAATTATATAATCTATATGACAAAACTAGAAATTTATAATGATGAAATTCATCGAAAGTATTTTATTATCATTAAGAAAAATAATTCTAGTTTGATATTAGGTATTCTAATGTTTTTTTTTCTGATTAATCTTCTTGAATAATAAGATTTCAAAACCTGTGAAGATCAGTAGATGAATTACTTTTTTTTGTTTTTGGCAATTGCGTTATATATATATATATGTCTAATCTAGAACATTTTTTTTCTATTCAACCATCGGCTAAACTTACAATTGCTCAGAAATCTTTCTCTATTAAATCTTTTTTTTTTGAGGTCAACATGTTTGTTGCTTGCGTAGGGTTAAACGAACTTTAATAAAGTGACATTATTGTTATCAATTTATAAATAGAGTATCTCTTTTGATAATCGGTTAACGATTGTTAACAACATTCATAAAAAATGTATTATTTGTTCAGACGAGTTAATTAAGCAGCAAAATTTAGTCTTTTGATCCTAATTTGTTCAATAGATAGAGTATATTTAGTTTTTTTTTAATGTTAAACGATTGAATCATGGAGTAAATCAAACAAAAATACAAGAGATATAAATTTAGATCAATTAATTTTTCATTCAATTAAAATATATCCTTCGGCATAGATACCGTTATGTCATGTTTCTGGAAGAAAAATAATATTTAGTGCACGATAAAAGTTTCACCTTTGTATGAACTCATTTATCTCGCAAATAATTAGAAGATAGAAAAACTTGACATCGTTATCATACATAATATTCCCTGAGCAATTATTGTTCATATACAACTATTATAAAAAGTGTATCAAATTGAATGAAGACTTGCTATTGTTGATAAAAATTAGTTTATAAATGAAATAACTAGTGGATTAGATTTCTTTTTTCAATCTATTTAGGAATTTTTATCGGATTCTCTTGCATTTGATAATAGTTCGAGACTGATCAATCAATCTGAACATATGATTACAATTTATACAGGTTTCATTTGATTTTATAGACCTTATTTATAAATAAGTAATTGTTTTATTACAATAAAATTAATGTATCTGATAAACAATCTTGAAGAATATTTCTTTTTTTTTGTTTCGAAGAAATATTTTACACTAACATGATGTTGAATTTTCTAAAATTATTTATTCGTCTACAGTATTGAAAGAAATAAAATTTCTAATCATAATCTTAATATGTATGTCTTTGAACATACAAAAATAAGGATCAGTTATTTCTTATTTTATTAAATTAGCACTTTATCCTTTCATATGTAAAATGAATATACCTAGATTCAAAATGAGATAACAATGCTTCTCTAGTAACATACAATTCACAAAAATCTGAATTGTTTCTTCAAAAACAAATTTGTAACTGTGTGTTGGAACCAATCAGTTGAAGTTCTTGAATTGAACAGTGAAAAACGAGTGCATTCAATACATCAATTCATTAATCAGTTCTTTCGAGAAAATATCTATTACTTCACTTCTACGAAGGCATACAATCTAAAACTGATGAAACTCTTGAAATTTCAAATAGTAACAACTTCTATTTTAGTTTTCTTTTTTTGAAGGTTTCTTCAATATCTAAATGAAAGTATCTATCTGCATTCAGATAGGTATAATCAACGAATTAATAAATATGAAGTTATATTAAAGTCTTATATGTACTTGAGGGCGTGAGTGTGAATTAGAAGTCATCTGTTTCTCGTCCCACAATTCTTAGATGTGATGGGCCCTAGTGTAGATATGAGTGTGTGTCCTCGGGCGAAAAAAAGAATAACCACACCCTAATCGAACGCCATTTGGTGTATTTCTTCACGTCTTTGTTGCCTCTGATCGATTCAGTGATTGTTAAAGTTCAGTAGAGTCCAATAAAATTTTCTACCAACTCATTAGATTTTTTCTAAATCAACGCAAACCATATGCTGAAATTCAATTTGGAATTGAAATGTTAAAGAGTGATTATGATCATGGAATTTTATTCAATTAATTAAAATTTTTCTATAAAAAAAAAACTATTATAAAAACATTCAAAACGCTATTATCTCTGTTGATGAAAGAAGCAAAAAATGAAAATAGCTAAAAGAAATTCTATTATTCATCGTATCTGTGAAGTACTTCGAGTGTATATTTCATCAGCTGAAACTTGCATATTTTCATGAAAAAAACAAACAAACATGGAAATCCGATGATAAAAACAGTTTGTCCCATTCTACTCCATTCAGAACTATACAACATACATTGATAATCTAAAACTATTTGTATTTGATTAAGATCGATACATATGATTTTCATCTATTTACTTTGGCTAAATTATACACTATGAATTAAAATACTTTCTTGAAAACATCATTTAATATTCTTAGAAATTATTAATTAAGGTAGATTATGATGATTGTAGACTATATTAGTAACATTAAAAATATTCATCTAACCCTTTTCATCAGCTGAGTTAACATAAAAGTCGATGATATTATTAATTATATTGACACAGGAGATCAGTAAGATAAGCTTTGTGCTTATATAATTTCATCCACCAAACACTTTCTCGATTCATTTTTCTATTAATCACTAACACTTGACAAGAGTCAGCAAAAAGATCGGTCCTTATCTATACAGGTAGAAAGAAGCATATTTGCATTTGATGTTGTACCATATAATTTATTGTCCTTATCGGATAATAAAATAGTAAATGAATTGGTTTTGGTAGTTGTCTGC